GATACTCTGTTGTTTTATGAAATTTCAGGAAATTGAAACATCTGTAACGCCGGTCCCTCGATCGGTTGAAATAGCTGAAATGCAAATTTCCAACGAATTAACATTTCTCGCTTTAGATTTTGCACTTCGACGCACCGATTTGTACTTTGAACGTTTACTCAAATCGGGGGAAATTCCACTTCCTATTTTTACAATTCGTATTCTTTATTTATTCGACGTTATTTACGATCGACTTTTCCAAGTCTTCTTGCTTTTGAGCAAGAGAACCTAACGCAAGATGATAAGTTGGATTATTCAGCACGCGTTTACTACTTTATTTACGATCGATCATTTCTAAAATAATTTTTAGACACGACGTGAAAACGAGCTTGGATTATTTAACGCTGGAGCAACCAACTATCCGTCAATGTGACAGATTTCAAATATTTTACAATTGCTTAAAGGATACGTGAATTTTTGTCAAAATTGATATTGATCTCCGGTTGGATGGAAACACAATTAGATCTATTTGTCTATTAATCATTATCGTTCAAATCACCAAATAATTTATACGTATTAATTAGATTTGTCGTTCCTGCGTTAACATTGATTCTTCTGCAGTAATTCTTACGCATATATTTGCATATGAAGAAAACTGTTGTGTCACGATGTAAACTTAGATCGTTTAGCGTAACCGATAATCCGTATCAAATCGAGAAATCGAGATATACTCTCGCAATCGATACGAAGTTTTTGTTCTCTCCATTAAACGTACTCGGCAAGAAATCGCCGCAGACTTATCCCTGATAAATCTTTTTTTTTTTCTTTTCTGACTTTTTCATAAAGTTCGCCGCGAGGTAAGGCGAAGGCCGAGACCGATGATGAATTTTCATCGGACACGTCCGCGACAGCTTTGCCTCACCTTTGGCTCCGAGCACGGCGCAGTATGATCAATCTTGCCGCGATTAGAGATATAAATAAATAATCTGTCGTTGCATCGGTTGTTGCCGGCGATTTTTCGTCACGCGAAACGACGACTCGACCGATCGACTCGAACAGGTTTCCACCAGGATGTATATCGGGCGCTTTCTTTCGAGAAAACGATCACGCGAACTCTAAAGTGGCGGGGAGGGGGAAAAGAGGGTGTATAGCGTGCTCGGAGAAAGTTTCCACGCGAAAACGCCAGGTTGTCTCTCTCTCTATGGCTGTGATCTGCGCGTTCGAAACATCACGAGGTTTCCTTTCCGCGCTGTAAAAGCGCAAAGAGCGTCGTTTTCGACTGTTCGTTGCTAACATCTTTTAATAAATCAACATTTTACGATTTTACTGTGTTTCAAGTCACGAGCACGCGATTGTCGGACTGTAAAAGTACTTCGTCAACGGTAGGATTTTATTTATCACGGTCGATTTAATTATCGCTGAACTGTGGATATTTGTACGTTGCACGGAACATTGAAAGATGTTATTTTCCTCAGAAATGAAGATGTAAAAATCGGCAGTTCAATTGATCGGTAGATTGCGGATAATCACGAATTTTGTGGGGAATCTTTTGATTTGTGTAGAGGGGATTTAACGCGAGGAAATATGCAAATTATTCCAAGTATAGAATTTATTATAATATTTTAAAGAGACGGAAGAAATTTCTGCGCTTGGACTTCACATCTTTAGCTGTTTATATATATATATATATATATATATATATAGACATGAATCTGCATAAATAACCGCAGTCTAGCTATCAGATGGGGAGAATCGACCGTTCGCTGCAAAGCAAAATATTCGACAATAGAAAATGTTTAATTGGAAGTGTTTCGTTAGTTGCGGAGCAACGTGCATTTAGATTGTTCCTTTACGGCTCGATTCTTCGTTCCGTGCCGATCGTTTGGCAGTCTCTCACTAGTACGCTCTCTCGGGCGTAGTAACAGTATACCTGGAGAATCCGTTATCATAGCTCGGCCAGGATCTTCCTGGTTGACCGTTGCGCCGGTCGAACGTGTCTCGAAATGTAGCCACTGGTTAAATAGGCTCGCGTGTAGAGCACCGAAATATTTATTAATATTCGACCCGATTATTCGCGAACATTCTTGCCGTTTTCAACTCCGAGTTTCATCTTCTTTTTTAACACGTTCGTTCGAACATGCTGGACCCACCACTGTCGCCCGTGACGGTCGTGCAAACTTTCACCAGAATAATATCATCGATGAGTTTCAAAATAACCGTGCCGATCATTTATCGTCCATCATTTTTCACTACCAGAACAGCACGTATCAACAAAGTTGGTTTATCAGAAGCAGTTCAATAAAATTGTCGTCAAGAGCAGAAGATTCGACGAGGGCTAGGATTCGAAAGGCTGAAAATCGTGCCCTGTAATTCATAGAATTTTGCGTGTCATTACGGTTAAAAGTTCTAGACTAGAAGCTAGGACATTTGAAACGTTCAACGAAGATCAATTCCGCGTGACGACAATCGCGCCGAACGCAGCGATGAGAATTGGAAAGTACGTAACCGTAAAGAGAGGGATGGCATCGGGGCAATTATCGTGGACAAGCGAGCATGTTCGCGAGTCAGGTGCCCTGGAACTGTCCAGGACACGGTTTCTATCGGCTCTCAGGTAGGTTCAGGTGGCTCGCAGGTGGGAGGAGGCCGGGCGCCCGTTTGCGCAGGTGTACCGCAACGTGCAAAACGCGACTTCCTTCTTCGTCTTGGTGGAGAAGGTCAGAGTAGAGAGCCTGGCGGAGGGCCGGACAGATACGTAGGCCAGTGCGTAGCTCACCACACCACGGTGACGATTATCCGGTTCTTCTCCTTCGACCTTCTTTGTATCCGGTCTGAGCGTCTCTATCGGCTCGACATCATCTCCCTGCTCGCTGGCCCCGTCTGGTAATCGCCCAGGCCCCCATTATCATAAGCGTTCCACGCTGCTACGTTCGCACGAATCGTCGAACCACTTCGTTCAACAACCGCGACCGTTCTTCCCTTCTTTTCTGGAATCAATATTACACGTCGACGATCTAACCACGATTTGTTGAAACGACATTTTTTTTTTTTTTTTTTTTTTTTTTTTTGAAACGAGTTTGCCCGTGTCAGATTGGAGAAAGAGGTGTGAGCCTTCTTTCTTAGATTACTGAGTGAGAACAGTGCATTGAACGTATACGCGGATTGCTCTTTCTTCGTGGAACTTCGTATCATGTGGATCGTTTCATTCTCGTCTTTCTTCGATGTCAGTGTACATCGACGATCTGAACTCGATTTATTGAAAATTTATTTGACTAATTAGATGGACTCAGTTTGTTTGTTGAGTTGTTTGAATCTTCTGCCGGGTTCTTGGTGTTAGAAATGAAATTGGACAATTTTTATTATAATATTGTGAATATGGTCTCTTATTCGTCGAACATTTTCGTTTCCATCGCCGTGTCCGGGTCGACCACTTTCCAGTGGAAATTCGTCTTGCCTGAACCTGATTTATTGAGATGGAACTTTAGTTAGCGTCAGATTAAAGGGACGATTATTCACTGATTTATCTGAACGTAAGTTCTTGCAGGAACGATTAGTGAAGAGGATTGGCGAACTTTTATACGTATGAATTGTTTCTTATAGTATTTCGAATAGTTTTCGTGACGTTGAAATATAAAATTCTTACCAAGCCTAACAGTCAGATTTATACGTTTGTCGTTGTGAAAAAATTAATACACCGACGAGTTGTTCTTCAAACGTTGTCAGTTAACAAGAATGTAATACCGAGTGATTAGAATTAGAATTTGATCGCCACTTTGATTTTCGTCAACTTGACACTGTATATCGCGAGTCTGGGTATTTATGATGTCGTTAGAAAAGTAACAGAAAAATTACGACAGTTTCTGCTTCCCTTTTGAAATAAATTGCAAGGAGGGGAGGAAGAGGGCCAAACGAGGAAAGTAGGAAGAATAAACGATGAGAAGGAGACGACGAACGAAGTTTCGAGCAACGATCGGAAGTCGAACGTCGTCAGTGGACTTATCTTATCGCGGCCTCTCGGTAGGATAAGAAGGACCTTGATCGCTTCGCGACAAACTGAATCGGCACCTTGGCTTGGTTGCGAGTACCCTGGTAGTTTCGCAAAATTTCCACGCGAACGTTGTTTTCAACGCTTTTTTACTACTAAAAAAAGAACTTTGTTCTTTTTGTTATTTAAAAAAAAAAAAAAAAAAAA